GAGCTTGTTAGTCCTATCAATTATTAGATTTTTTTTTTTTTTTGGTATTAAGGTGAGGCCTTGCTCATATCTTTATTAATAATTTTATTGGGTAATAGTAACCACTAGTTGAATAATCAGCTAATGTAAATGTTACTACAATTCATAAAAATACAAATAAAATAAAACTATATAGCAAGAATAAAAGCTCAGACTAATTTATTTGCGATCTAAAAACCTACTAGAGTGGTTCTTGGCTTTCCTAGATTATAATGGAGGAAATATAATTAATTGAAGTACCATATTTGATCCAATGAACAGACTAAGTATCGAATTTCCTTCTAGCCTGGCCAACAGGTGGACAGGTATTAGGATAAATGTGTAATTGATCTGGTTCTCCACATAGACAAAAATAAGTATATATTGTACGAGTACGTTGAGTTGAATTAGTAGATTGTTTTGAACTTGAAGAGTCAGATTGTTGTTCAAGACTGAGAGATTCAGGTTGTGTAGAAGGGCTTAAATTATTAGAGTATAGATAGTTGAGTTTGTTGAGCTTCCTCCAGTTAGAGAAGTTAGAACAATAGGGTTTCCATATTTGTTCATATAATTGTTCTTTTATTTTAAGTAATATATTAATTACTGCTTGAGAGGCAATTTTGTAAGAGATATCATAGTTTTGAATAGTTTTAATTAAAGATATAGGAATTAGACCTTTGAGTGTAATATTCAAATAATGTGAGTAAGGTTGAAAAGCAAAAGTATCCAAGTCTTAGTTTTAGCTTTAAAGTATATTTAATATATTTATATAATACTGTTGGTTCTCTCAAAACTAGAGCTGCAGACATTAGAATATCAATGAACATTTACTATGATGTATGACATAATGTATATGATGTGACATTTAATATGATTATATATAAATTTTATATAATATAAAGAGTAACATATTACCTTAGATCTTCTAAATATTTGCAGCTTTACTCAAAACTAGTATATATAGTGAACAGGTTTTGTATTAGTTTTTGGAGGTTATCAGGTTTAAAAAATCACATGATAAATAGTTAGAAATTAGCCAATCAAATTGCAAAATTGGTATATAAAAATTTTTATCAAATTTGATCGGAAAAACTTCACTCAAAGTTTTAAAAATTTAACAGTACATAAATTATTAAGGCTATACAAAGATGATTTTTATTTTACATTAAATGTCATTTGAAATTTTGATCAGGATTAGTTTTTTTTTTGTTAATCTATATAGCAAAGTCTTTAATTTCTAAAGCTTTTTTGAAAAGTATTTTACTTGTTTAGATGATTTCAAGTTTATTGACTTTTAAATCAGTTAAATCATAAGATATTATAAAACTATATTAAATTTAAATATATCGATAACTTACAAAATATAAGAATAAGGAAATCACTAACTCTTTCAGATGATCACTTGTACCAAGTTTTATCTAAAAATAATTGCACTTTTCTCAATATTTTATTAAGTAAACCTACTCTGGCTGCCTAAGTAAAATTGTTTCTAGTTAAATTTTACATATAGGCGGTCTAGTTTTATATCTCTAAAGCTCTTCTATACATAGATATAGCTAATTTTATAAATTTTCACTTTTGCTTTGTTTATACAAAATTTTACTAAGTAAATCCACTTTGCATAT